CAGATTATCCATGCTAGTTGCTAGCCTCTCCAATGCTAATGCCAGCTATCCATGCTAGTTGCTAGCCTCTCCGATGCTAATGCCAGATTATCCATGCTAGTTGCTAGCCTCTCCAAAGCTAATGCCAGATTATCCATGCTAGTTGCTAGCCTCTCCAAAGCTAATGCCAGATTATCCATGCTAGTTGCTAGCCTCTTCAATGCTAATACCAGCTTATCCATGCTAGTTGCTAGCCTCTTCAATGCTAACACAAATAAATAGTCTCCTCATTTACTAGCACTGGCCTCTCAGTTAGCAGGGTCAGCTGCTCAGTTAACRGTGCCGGCCTATCATTAATCAGATCAATAGCTGGTTTAGGAATAGATACAGCCTCCTGCTACAAGGATGTAACTGCTGGTTGTGCAGTAGTCTTAAATTTGTCCCTCATTCTGCACCATACAAACGGGTCTGGACCTCATCTCTGCTGCGTCTCTGTGTTTCAGAAAATGCGTCTCACAGTGAGCTGCGTGACCTCCTGTCAGAATTCACTCTGCTGAAGCAGGTCAACCACCCACACGTCATAAAGATGTACGGCGCCTGCAGYCAGGATGGTAAGCCCCGCCCCCTCGCTCCTTCTCCCTCCTCATCCTCCGTCATTGCGCCGAATCTGAGCGCCGCTTCTCCCCCTCCACAGGTCCGCTGTACCTCATTGTGGAGTACGCCAAGTACGGCTCGCTGCGTAACTTCCTGAGGGAGAGCCGTAAAGTGGGTCCGAGCTACATGGGCCGGGACGCCAACAGGAACTCCAGTTACCTGGAGAACCCGGACGACAGGGCGCTCACCATGGGGGACCTGATCTCCTTCGCCTGGCAGATCTCCAGAGGCATGCAGTACCTYGCTGAGATGAAGGTATTCAACAAAATAAAAGTTTACTACAAAATAAAGTTTCTTTAATTCTTTAAAAATATTTAGTTTTGTTGCAACATAAAAAGTCGGAATTAAAGAACCTGTGATGCATTTGTCAGGTAGAAATACACAAWACAGTACTCATCAAGTGTGTACCTKATACCTGATACTGGATATATTCCTAGTAAAAGGGTACATACATTATATTTAAAAGGTACATAACTGGTACGTAATCAGTTTGTACTTGGATACTTACAGGATATAGAACTGAAACTTACTGGATACATATCTGGTATTTTTAGTGTACATACATTATACTTTAAGGTTAAAAGGTACGTGATGTGTATGTACCTGGTACTTAGTTAGCACTTACCTGGTACAAACTAGGTATGCAACTARTACTTWCAAGGTACATTGAGATACATAATTTCCAACTATGGTACRGRTACTTATCTAATATGTAMTGGGTACTTAMTAGATACATTCAAAGTACTTTAAGGGTACATACATCATACATACATAACTGGTACATAACCAGGTTTTTACCTGAATACTTGCAAGGTATATACTTGGTACTTAGTAGATATGTATCTAGTACTTTAAGGGTAGATACATTATRTATTATATATAAACATACCAGGTTTGTACCTGGTACTAACAAGATATAGACCTAGTACTTACTTGGCACTTACCTGGTATAAACTTGGTATTTACCAGGTATGCAACTGGTACTTATAAACTACATTCAGGTAAATAGTGGAAGTTGTGGTACTGGTACGTTTCTGGAATGCACAAGGTWCTTACTGGATACATTCCTAATACTTTAAGGGTGCATACATTATACTTTAAGGTTACACAACTGGTRCATATCAGGTTTTCACCTGAGTACTTACATGGCATATACTTGGTACTTCCTGGATACATACATTGTGCTTTAAGGGCACATATACTTTAAAATGTTATGTATTGTGTATGTACCTGATACTTACAGGGTATAGAGCTTGTACTTGGTACAAACCTGGTATTTACTAGGTATACAACTGGTACTTACAAGGTACATTCAGGTACATAGTTGGAAACAATGGTATTGGTACTTATCTGGTACGCCCAAAGTACTTACTGGATATAATACAAGTACATTAAGGATACATACACCATACTTAAAAGGTACTCAACTAGTGCATACCTGGTTTGTACCTGGTACTAACTGGGTATATATCTGGTACAAATTTGGTATTTWCCAGGTATRCAACTGATACTTTCCAGGTATATATTTAACTATGGTACTGGTACTTGATGTGGTATTCACTAACCTGGTACAGGGATATGATTGTATTATAAGGAGACTTGTTACCTCTTACTCACCAAGTATCTACCTGGTACTTAGAAGGTACAGACCTGGTACACATTTTATAGGTGTGTACCTTATAGTTGCCACCTACTTACAGGATACAAACCCAGTACTTGATCAAACCCTTGCCTGGTACTTGTACTTCCCTGTATTATGAACCAGTTCTATGTTTTGAACCCAAACTGCTCCAGTTTCACTCAGACTTTAAAACCTTTTTGGCGTCTAACATCCGCTAAAGCAGCTAAAATGAGTTCTGGTCCAACAGCTCGTCCACAGAGACCTGGCAGCTCGGAACGTTCTGGTAGCTGAAGGACGCAAGATGAAAATTTCTGACTTTGGTCTTTCCAGAGATGTTTATGAAGAGGACTCGTACGTTAAGAGGAGCAAGGTAAAAAAAAAAAAACATCTTAAATTTGATTATTTAAGCAAGTTTTTAACAGAAAACTGAAGAAAGTCTGGTTTTTATCAGGGTCGTATACCGGTGAAGTGGATGGCCATCGAGTCGTTGTTCGACCACATTTACACCACGCAGAGTGATGTGTGAGTACAAGTTAAAGTAACTGTCAGGGTTTATACTTGTTTGTTCCAGATGAGACAAACTTCCTGATTTCACTTCCTTCAGGCTGTGGAACCGATTTATTTTTAGCTGAAAGACAGTTTGGATCAGAAAGCAGAACTGATCCGATCTCAGTTCTCAAATTAAATTAATTTAGATTCACAAAAAGTCATTTTTTATGCTAAAAACGCTTATTTTATTATATTCAGACACCTGTTTCAAAGGTTTTATTAAGTTTRTAAATATATGTAACTCCGGATTTACACTACATGTGTCTCCGCTCCGCTGCGCTGCAGTGCGCAGTTCGCAGCTGTTCGTTTGTGCCCCAATTTATACAGCGTCCACTGCGCTCAGCTCCGCTCTGCTCCGACACACAGAGGAGGGAGGGTGTGCGGGAAGTAGATCGCGCGATAAATTCAGTGATAATTGTGGAAGTCACAGCAAAAAAATAATTAATTCTGTGAAAGATGAACTCCAAACACAGCTGAAAACATTGATATCTATGTTGAAACTGTCTCGCTGTCGTCTTTTTGAAACTTCTGATTTCAAAATAAAATCCACGTGTATCGTGTGTGTTCATATGCTTCACGCTACATGTTTCCATCTGCTTCCTTAACAGAACGATACATTCTGACAGCATTTGTGTAAAAATATATCTGTATATTTATTAATGTAGCTGCAATTTTGACATTATTCCGACAAATTATCCAGCCTAAAAGTGTTTTATTTTGAAAATACGGATGTTGTGCTCATTTCTTTTCCTGTTGGTGCGACGTAATCTTTAAAAATTGACTCCGGCGCAGCTCCGGCGTCCGGCAAAAATAGGATCTGTTCTAATTTTGCCGGATCGCCGTCACCGCCACTCACCGCCGCTCACCGCCGCTCACCGCCGCTCACCGCCGCCGTGCGCAGCCATTGTAAACACTCTCACTGATTATAATGGGTGTGTATTTGCTGCAGAGGTCGGACCGCAGCGAAGCGGAGACGGAACGCAAGTAGTGTAAATTGGGGGAAGAATTGCTGTCGCTGTAAAACAACTTCAGTC